TTGAACCCAGAGTCTCAGCTGAACCTAGCTTCACATGCCAGGTTGACTCATATTGAAAAATATCTTGTTTTACACATCTTGGGGATATCTATCGGAACGGTTTAGGGGAGGCCTATTTTTATATCCTTCAGTTGTACCTTAAAAAGAAAGAAAATAATTTCCCACATCCAATCTAAGTGGAAAGAGAAAATGAAAATCTAATCCTGGCAAGTCACTTTAAATAGAATGATGGGTAAGAGACTATAACAAGTCCCTTACCATGTCAAGCTCAAAGGCTGCATGATGAATTCTCTTATCTCTTAGAAAGGACTTACACTGATTCACCTCACTGGTTAGTGGGAATTCCAGCTATATCCACACAGTAGTCTAACTCACGGCTAGGAATCTGCTCTGGAGGCTCATTATTTAATTAAGAGTAGGAATTACAAGAGCACTAAATGCAATGAAGCAGCACAATTTGCAAGGGTTCTGAATTTATGGTTTTCATTAATTAACATAAAGTAGAGTAGGCAAGCGAAATCAAGTGATCTGCTCAGCTATTAGAATTTTGAGAGTTAATTAATATGACAGTACAGATCATTGAGCTTAGAAATTATGAGTAACATATAGAATTTTAAGGAGTATTGTGATGTTTTTTAATTACAAGATAGTACTCCTCTGCTCCTTTAAATTGTATTCTTTTGAAGCTTTATTCCTTCGATCAAGATCAGATATGGCTAAGTCTATATGAGCCAAAAATATTAGAAGCTATGTTAATTCAATTGTGTGAATCAAATTCAATTCTACGAGTTCTTTTAATAAATGGTTTGCTTATTTACTTAATTATCCATAATGATTATAACCATTAGTGACCATTAATAAATAAAAACTAATTGCATTTAATACGTATATTTGAATTTCAGCCTTCTCCTGTTTCTTAGTAAGGAAAGAAACAAAAATAGCTTTTCCTATGACTGCAGCTTAAAATGTAGTAGCGTAAATGCTTGTCTCTGCTGTGATGTAAACATAAGAGGAATTTGAGACTGTGCAAATTGTCTCCACTGCCATTCTATAGATTCCTCATCCCTGCCTTCCCCATTCAACCTCATCTTAATTTAAGAGCTCAAGAGCATTGAAGGCTATTGTTCCTCTTCATCTGAGTGAAGAACTGTGTAAATAAAAGTCTAGTCTTGCCTTCCCGTGTGAATTCAACTTGTTAAAAATAGACATGCATTGTAACCCAAATAGCATTTTTTGTGATGTCTTTATAAATTCCTATTACATCTTAGTACATTTTAAATTGTAGGGAAAATGATCTTGTGCTTATAGTCAAAATATCAATAACAGAAAAATGCTTAACATAAGCAAAGATGTAAATATTTTGCAACTTACAATAATTATCTAAACAATAGTTGTCTACCCAAAAGCAGAGAGAGAGCAAAAGGAAATGCGCCTGCCACAGAAGTGGGGGTGGGAGAATGGGGGTGGTGGGAGGAACACTGGGAACAATGGTGATGGAGAACGGGCACTGGTGTAGAGATGGGTACTCGATCATTGTATGACTGAAATGCAAGGACGGAAGTTTGTAAGTCTGTAACTGTGCCTCATGGTGATACATTAAAAAACATAAAATAAATGAAAATTTTAAAAAATTTAAAAAATAAAAATAGTTGTCTACTGCTCAAAATGTGACGTATGCTTTACTACTGTTTTATAATGTTTATCTCATCATTGCTGACAAAGAAAACTTGAAAGGTATACTTCTGTAATAAAGGAAAATTTACATGGTGAATCACTCTTTCCCAGTTCATAAACTGTCTTAAAAGACACTGTCTCCGGGAACACTAGGGGCCGTTAAGGCTCCACCCAGGAATGGGGGACACGGACAAGAGGTCACGTCATTCTGGGGAGTAAACTGGGAGGTTGCACATGTCAGGCACACACCCCACACCTTTGAGTTAGCTATTAACTCACAAGACCCTTAAAGGTACATCAAGCAAAAATTAGGTCTTATAGTTAGTATTTAGTAATGCAAGATGACTCATGTTTTTACCAGAGAAAATCAGACACACATAATGACTAGGGGAGACCAGATTAAAACCAAAAATAAGGCAATATCTACAAACCACAAAGAAAGCTCAAGAGAAACAATAACCTGAGGACATCTGAATCTTGGACTTCCAAATCTATAGAGGTGTGAGATAATGAAAGCTTGTTATTTAAGGCACACATTCCATGATATTTACTTATGGTATTCCTATAAAAGTATATAGAAATAATGATGTTGATAGAGTAGCTTTCAATTCTAATTTATTACAACTTATTAATAATTTCAAGATTGATACTATAAACAAAATATAGTCTCAAAATAAAAGTGACAATAAATTGAGTATTTGCCCACAGATTCAATTTAAGTAAAACTGTGTATTTTATTTAACTAAGTTTACCCTTATTTACTGCTGTTGAGAATGTAATCCGGCTAACCTCTGTGGAAAATAGTATTATAAAATATATTCAGTAAACTCAGAATTAAGACCCCATATGACCCAGAAATTTCACTTTTGGGTATTTGTCTGGAGAACAGAAAAACATTAATTCAAAATAACATATACACACCATTATTTTCCAGCATTTAGCACAACACCAGAGATTTGAAACCAACCCAAGTAAGTGGACCATGAAGATGCAGTATATGGGCATAATATGGAATACTATACAGTTTGGAATAGTACAATCAAACTTTGCTTCAGGGCATAAAGAGGAGAAGAAAAGAAAGAGTGGAGGAAATGGGGAGAAGAGACAGATGAGAAGCAATGGGGGCCGGATCATGGAATCCCGGTACAAAGATGGTGTTAAGGAATGATAGAGCCAATATCCAAACCACAGAGTCAGCAACACTGAAATAAAGAGAAGAGATCCAAACTTTAACAACCAAACTTACAAAGGCGCCTGTCAAGAGGGCAGGCTGAAGGGGGTGGGGTCGATGTGGGAGGGAGCTTGAGAACACGGGTGCAGGGAGATTGAACCTGGTGGTGGGGTGGGTGCTACAATATTGATTGCCTAAAACTCAACCATGAATAACTTTGTAAATCACAGTGTTCTAGCAACATTTAAAATGACAACAAAAAAGGAAAAAATTATGTTGTCAAAAGAAAACCTGCACAAAAGAATAATGATAAAGTTAATAATTTTAATTTGAAAGAAATACAGGTGAAGATAGGAGGCTCTTCATTATAGGATTTTTCCTCCAAACTTTCTCAGGCTATCCTGAGGGACCCAATTGGGAAACTAATGCTGGACATTGGGCTATAGTTCTTTAAAACACTTATTTTATGCTCAGATTTGAATTTTCAAGAAATTAAGCTTTTTCAAAAATAACAAATAAAATACGTACTTTCTAAGAGTGAGAACTCTCTAATGGTACAATATACCCCTGACAATGGAGTGTGTTTCATTTTCAAGCATAATCCACAGATCCTGCCAGGACTATTCTAGACAGAGTTGCAGTTTCCTCTACACTGGGATTTTCACAATTTCTGTGTCCCGGCGATATCTCTAAAGTTGGAAAAAAATTCAACAAAGAGTGTGGCATTCTGATGCTATGCAACATGGATTACATATCCTTATGTAATCTTTTACTTGCAGTTAAAATTGTCTGGAAATATATTCCCTAAGAGCTGGCAGATGGTAGCAGAAAGTCCTCACCATGATAACTTTTAACACTGAAGCTTAATTGATATGCATTAAATGTTACACACTTAAAGTGTACAATTTGATAAGTTTTGACATATGTCTATGCTCATAAGACCAACATCAAAATCAACACAATGAATAATTCATTATCCCCCAAAGTTTCTACAGTCCCTTCATAATCATTTTTTCTCCAGCTCTGCTGCATCATCACCTTCACATGACAAATATATGTCTATTTTCTGTGACGGAGTATCAATTTTTATTTCCTATAATCTATATAATAAAAGCATATAGCACACTCTCTTTCTTGCCTGGCTTATTTTATTCTTAACCATTAGTTTAAGATTCATTCAGGTTACAAATATGAGTGGTTCATTTCTTTCTATTCCTGAGTAGCATTTCATTGTATGATTATATTGCAAGTTTTCAATTTCTGTGCTGAACTTTATATTATTTATCCGATTATATCTGTTTAAATAATGCTATTTTAAACATTATTTTTATGAAGTAAGCTTTAATATTTCTGGGGCACAAGCATGTGTTTGAAATTTTTAAAAATTTCCAAACTCTTTCCAAAGCCATTGAATCAATTTACATTTTCATCAATGTATGAGACTTTCATTTCCTCAACATTCTTGCCAGTGTTTTAAGAAAGATATTTCAGTAGATAAGTAGCATCAGTTTTCATTTACCAAGAATCTTTCCATATACTTATCTGCCATCTGTATGTCTTCTTTTGTGATGTCTCTGGTCAACTTTAAAACTTGGGGCCTTGTAGTTCTACTTCCTTGTGTCCTCTGTCATAGAGGCAGGCAGGGGGTAAGGGCTGGGGGGTGATGGGAGAGAACCTGGGGACACTAGTGTTGGGAAATGTACACCGGTGGAGGGATGGGTGCTGGAACACTGTAAAACTGAAATCCAATCATGAACAGCTTTATAATGATCTATCTCACGGTGATTTAATTAAACAGCTTAAAAAAAAAAAAGCTTACACAAGTATTTATAAAAAAAAAAAAGAAAAACAACAACTTAGTGCCAAAGATACAGCTTAATAGGCTAAGTGAATGCTTTGCATGTGGAAGGCCATGGTTTGATCCCCAGTGCTGGTGCTAAGCCAGGACATTAGGACGAGCCTCTGGACGCTGCCCTGCAAGCAGGAAGCAGAACCGAGGCCCCACTTCTCACTAAGTGGGCAAGCTAAAAACCTGTGAGTCCCATGACCTGGAGGAGTACAGCATGCTCTCATATGCCTACCTACTCATACACCATCTTGGCAGTACGAGGCAGCAATTTTCCCCTCTCTTACACATCCTTAACTGGACTGACCTTCAAGTATCAGTATGAGCCTTCTCTATGTCCCATGTGTAACCAACGACTAGAATGTGGGGGAACGTAATCTGCAGAACCTTTGTGTCCAGTTCTGACTGGACATCTTCCTCTGACACTTTTAATCATAACAACATAGCACTGACAGCATAGCTTTGACAAGACAGTGTACACCTTGATGTTCTTTTGACGAATGCTCATCCAATAACTGCTTGTACTCTCGTTAGTGAGTCTCTGTGATGAAGTGATTAGGATGTAACTGATAAAATATAGAATCAAAGGAGGCCTCTGGCAGTCACTCTTGGCCTCGAGCCAGAATGAGCTTTGGCCCTCCGTGCTCTCTGCATTCCTCTCGTGTGTTCTATCTCACACTTCCGACCGAAAGAATATTCATGCAACACCCAGTAATACATAGGCATACCAAGAGTGACTCTGAACACCACTGCATATGACCCAAAACCATTACCAAAACCAAAACCCAAACAAAGTAGATTGTTTTCTTATTGCTGATTGTTGATAAATAAATATATACATATATATATTCAGGATTCATATTTATCAGATTCAAGCTTGCAAAAAATTCTTATACTTTTATCTTTTATTCTCTAAACAGCATTTTTCTGAGACTAAAGCTTTTAATTTTATGAAATTAATTTACCAGTTTGCTTTATTTTATTTACTTTTATCACCCCAAAAGTTGCTCAGAAGGCTCTAAAAAATTCATCCTCCTGGAGATACTTGCCAACCATGTTGGTGACTCACTGGGAGTCCATGAGATAGGGCTTCACAGGCATTCTTATGCTCAGGATACCCAGCCATCTGACATGGCTACCCTGCCAACACTTGTGCTAGGAATATAACACTTTACTTTCTCCAAGCCTGGTTCTATTCTACTGACTGATTTTGGAATCAAATATAAAATACCTAACCAAAATATAAAATGCCTTATCCAAGTTCACAAAGATATTTTCCAATGCTTTCATCAATAATTTTATAGATTTGTTTTATTTTGATATCTGTGTTATATTTAGATCTATAATTTATTTCAAATTACTTTTCTATTGCACATGGATAACTAACAATTTTTATCATTTCTTTTTGAAAATTAAAACTTTGCATCATCCAGAATGGCTTCATATCCTTTAAAATACCAATTGACATTAGTTCTTTGTGTAAAACTAGTCTTATGTCTCTTTATGATAATTACTTCTGTCCAAAAATATATCATAGATATAAAGTAAGTCAAGGAATTCAATCCAAACTATTTTTCATTTCCCCTTCTGATTTCTCTTTTGACCCGTATACTTTTTTTTCAGTTTCATAATTTTCACTTTATTTAAATTTCTTTAATTTATTTTTGCAGTGGACAGTGGACACAACAGCCATGCCATGTGGGGCCATCCCGGAGGTGCCAGGGGGAGGTTGCCCTGACAGGGGCATTGGCTGCCCCATGGCACCAAGGCCTCCCATGCTGCCCAGGGACTGTCCTGGGCCCCGAGACGGCATGCCGATTCCAGCTGCTCCAGCAGGGCGTCCACCAGTCAGGCTCTGAAGCGCATTCATAGGGTCACTGACGGAAGCTTGAGATTTCTTGTTATGGATGTCTCGGAAATGGATGATGAGCCTGGCCACAAGAGAAAGGTACTCGTCCCGTGTCTTGGCCTTCAGGAACACATGGCTCTCCATATCCTTGCTGGATTTACTGTGGGCCACGCCAGCTTTTCTCATGGCATCCTCGATTTGACTGACCAGCTTCTGCCGGAAAGCGGCGCTCCGCAAATCGGCCTCCTGCCCCGAAACGTCCATCCCGGTGTCCGAGGCCCCGCTACCCGCCACCCACCCGGCCGCCGCTCTCGCTGCCGCAGCCGCTGCCGCCGCCGCCGCCGCCTGAACCGCAGCGCCAGGCCCAAACCCGGAAGCGGTCGGCGGGGCCCTCGGAAGACCGCTTTTTGAAGACCCACAGAACAAGCCGTCGCCACACTCCAGGACGCTTTCCGGACCCGCGCGACAGCTCCGGCCGAGACCCACGCACAACTGAAGACCCACAGAACAAGCCGTCGCCACACTCCAGGACGCTTTCCGGACCCGCGCGACAGCTCCGGCCGAGACCCACGCACAACTGAAGACCCACAGAACAAGCCGTCGCCACACTCCAGGACGCTTTCCTGACCCGCGCGACAGCTCCGGCCGAGACCCACGCACAACTGAAGACCCACAGAACAAGGTAAGCGGAACTCTCTGAGATCTTGGACTCCAGGCTCGGCGGACCCAGGGACAGAGCTTCTCTGCTTGCTCCCACCACCACAGGTGACAAAGGGATTCTAATTAGGAGCCCCACCCTACCCTGCCCTGTCTGCTTCCATCAACCACCCAGGGATCGAATTGTGCACAGGAGACCCACCCTACCCAGATAAATATCCCACTGGCAGACTTCCACTCTCGACACTACTTCCACTACCCAGCCGTCGCCACACTCCAGGACGCTTTCCGGACCCGCGCGGCCGCAAGCGGCCGCGCGACACATCATAAGACACTAAATACCCGTCTTCTGGAATTGTCGTACCATATTTGATAGGGTTCAAATATGGTAACACCTACAAGGGTGATTAGAGGTCACCCCAAAAGCCTCTATACCTCTCAGAAAGACTGGCAAGCTACCGAGAGTATTCCGCCCACACGGAAGAGCCTGGCAAGCTATCCGCTGTGTATTCGATATGCCAAAACCAGTAACTACAACTGGTCTCATTCACCTGACCCTGAAGGCTTCACCGACATGGCAGCACTGAGAAGGATGAGAAAGGAGAGGCCGACAAAATCTCAAGGCCGACCTAGGCTGCCACAACGAAGGAAGACAAAAATGATCGTCTGTACTTTCAATGCACGTACGCTAGCATCAGATGCATCCATCGAGGACCTGATGGTACAAGTGCGAATGATCAAGTACGACATCATTGGTCTGACCGAGACAAGAAGACACGAATCTCACCATGCCGTTTTCGACACTGGAGAAGAATTGTTCCTCGGAACATGCGATAAAAGAGGTGTTGGAGGCGTCGGTGTCCTTGTCAACACAAACTTGGCCAAGAGCATTGATTCATTTGAATGCCTAACAACCCAAATCGGACGTTTACATTTGAATAGATGTGGCTCACTGCCTGCAGTTTCTATCTTCGTTGTCTACGCACCAACATCTCATTATGATGAAAGAGAAATCGAGAAGTTCTACATGGAGCTAGAGAAGTTCTATAAAGAAGACCACACCTTCTACAAGATCATTGTGGGTGATTTTAATGCCAAGATAGGACCGAGAAGATCAGCTGAAGAACTTCACATCGGAACCCATGGCCTAGAATGGAACGAACAGGGTGAGAGACTGTCTGAGTTCATCATGTCGACCAAGACCATTCATGGTAACTCACAGTTCCAGAAGGCAGAATCTAAACGATGGACATGGGAGTCTCCCGGTGGACGATTCCACAACGAAATAGACCACATCATATTCAATCGACGGTTTTGCCTGACTGATGTCGCTGTTGTCCCAAAATTTCGAACGGGATCGGACCACCGTCTCCTTCGTGCAAAATTCTACTTCACAGAGCGGGGAGAAAGGGCTGCAAAGTTCAAAAAGAGAACTCCCAGAACGACCACCAACTGGGAACTCTTTGTACTATTGCGGCAACATGGGAAGATGCCATTGTTGACAACATTGACGAGGAATACGATCGACTGGTTCAGCACCTCCATGAATGTGCGAGGAACGCCAAGAGAGAGATAGCCACAAAAAGTCGCCTATCTTCGAAAACTCTTGAGCTAATTCGCCAGCGTGGTTTGGCGCATGCCTCAGGCAACCGCAAGCTAACGTCCGAGCTTGCAAAGCAGTGCAGAGATGCGATCAAGGAAGACCTCAAAGGGAGAAGAGCAGAAGTACTGGTAGATGCGGCAGAAGCCGGGAAAAGTATTCGTAACGCCCGCCTGTCCTTCGCCAACTATAAGACCAAGATGACTGCCCTCCGACGTCCTGATGGATCCATCACATCCTCCAGAACGGCAATGGAGAAGATTATCCATGACTTCTACTCAAATCTCTTCGATAGCCATGTCCACTTGCCGACATACCAAATTCCACAGGATGGGTATGTCGTTCCCAACGTTCTCCCTTCTGAAATCCGACACGCCGTTTCGTCAGTAAAGAAGCAAACAGCACCCGGCCCAGACAAGGTCAGACCTGAACACCTGAAGAACCTGCCGTCAGTACTCATCAATACACTGGCTCGGCTCTTCACTCGCTACCTGTCTGAATGCAAGGTTCCGTCCCAATGGAAAACCAGCAGGACCGTACTACTGTTCAAGAAGGGAGACATCCATGACATTGGCAACTATCGCCCGATCTGCCTATTGTCTGTCATCTACAAGCTGTTCACTCGAGTCATCCTGAATAGGATTGGCAGAACACTAGATGAAGGACAACCATGCGAGCAAGCAGGGTTCCGCAAAGGATTCAGCACCATCGACCATATCCACACGGTAACCAAGCTCATTGAGGTTTCTCGGGAGTTCAAGATGCCGCTCTGCTTAACGTTCATTGATTTAAAGAAGGCCTTTGATTCTGTTGAGACGGAAGCGGTCATTGAAGCCCTAGCCAATCAGGGCATTCAAGCCCAATACATCAGGATCCTCCGTGAGCTGTATTGCGGATTCACTACCAGGATCTCACCATTCTACAAAGAAGTGATCGTTGATGTCAAGAGAGGGGTGCGGCAGGGTGATACCATTTCACCAAAACTCTTCAGTGCCACCCTCGAGAACATCATGCGACGACTGGAATGGGAAGGAATGGGAGTGAAGATAGATGGTCGGCAACTACACCACCTCCGCTTTGCTGATGACATTGTTTTAATAACACCAAACATCAGCCAAGCGGCACAAATGCTGGCCGACTTTGACCGTGAGTGTGGAAAGGTAGGACTACAGCTGAATCTTACGAAGACAATGTTTATGAGAAACAGCCTTGTTCCTGATGCCCCATTCGCTCTCAATGGAATGACCATCTCCGAATGCAACAGCTATGTGTACCTAGGTCGAGAGGTCAACATGACAAATGACCTGGCACCCGAGCTGCGCAGGAGGAAGAGAGCGGCTTGGAACGCCTTCAAGAACGTCGAAGAAATAGCTAAGAGGACGAAGAACCTCCGGCTCCGGGCACATCTCTTTGATTCCACTGTTCTTCCTGCATTAACATATGCCTCAGAGACCTGGGCCCTACGCAAACAAGATGAGAACGCCATTCAGGTCTCCCAAAGAAGAATAGAAAGAGCTATGCTTGGAATATCACGTTTCACTCAAATGAGAGAACGAATCCGGAGTTCTGACATCCGTCGACGATCAAGGATCAGGGACGCTGTCTCATTTGCCAAGGTGTCGAAAATCAGATGGGCTGGTCACGTAATGAGATTTAAAGACGACCGTTGGACTAGAGCTGTTACTGATTGGATTCCACGGGATGTCAAGAGACCGCGTGGCCGCCCACCTACCAGATGGTCAGACTTCTTTGTCAAGGTCATGAACGATCGGTTTAAGGCCCTCCATGTTCCCGGAGCGAAGAGATGCCATTGGGCTACACTAGCACGCGACAGGGACAAATGGAGACGTTACTGGCGCCCGCTCGAGCAAATCGACGACTAACGGGAAGTTAAGTGATTAAGTGATTAAGTGATTTATTTTTAATTGCCTCTTTTGCAATCCACAACATCCAAAAGGAGAGAGATAACAAAAGGGAATGACCTGCCACAGAGGCAAGGTGGGGTGGGGGGTATGGGGGGAAGGAGGGATACTGGGATCCATGGTGGTGGGAAATGGGCACTGGTGGAGGGATGGGTATTTGATCATTGTACAATTGAAATCCAAACACAAAAATTTGTAACTCTACAACTGGACCTGTATACTTTTTAGAAGTGTGCTCTGATTGATTTGAAAATATATGGGAGACTTTCCAAGTATCTTTTATTTAGGAAGGTTGGGGCACACTTAGCAGTGTTCAGGACTTACTACTGGCTCAGTACTCAGGTGTCACTCCTGGCAGAGCTCGGGATGCCGTAGTGAATGCCAGGATTTTACTGAGCTGGCCACCCGCAAAGCAAGCAACTATATACGCTATATTGTCTCTCTAAAGTTCTCCAAATATACTTCTATTGCCATCATTACATTAAATCCCATTGTTGAAAGAGAATGTATTTATATGACTTGAATATTCTTAAATTGAGACTTGATTACCTAAATATGCTTTATTTTGTTCATAGTCTGTCATTTGACAGAAAGATCAATTACATAGCAGTAGTTTGGTTTTCAGGTCTTGCTTTTGTGGTGTATTAGTTCCTACAATTACTTTTTTAGTCTGGTTGGTAGAAACTGCATCATTTCAGATGAATTCTCTACATGACTTTGATGATCAGCACTCTGATTTGAGAGGTACTATTATTTCTCTGTGGAGTTTTCTCTCTAGTACTTTTTCTGGGAGCTCTAGCCTACTTAGTATCTGTGGACTGCCAGCCCTCTCTTCTTGGTCCATGGAAAATAATGGGTTCAGTGTGCATTTCTTTTCCGTGTTTAATGGTCTGACATCTCTCCAGGCTATTGACTGGAACAGACAAAAGCAACACGTCATTAGTTTTTGTCTTGTTTTGTTTTGTTTGCTCAGATTACTGGATACCACAGACTGTTGTCCCATATCTTTTTTTAAAATTTTATTGAATCACTGTGAGAAAGTTACAAGCTTTCATGTTTGGGTTACAATCACACAATGATCAAAAACCCAGCCCTCCACCAGTGCACATTCCCCACCACCAATCTCCCCAGTATATCCCCCTTCTCACACTCCCCCTGCCTCCATGGCTGACAATATTCCCCATAC